AATATTTTTCATTTCGTTACCTAATTGTCCATTATTATCTTTGAATTCTCATTTTTATAGCCTGATGGGCTATAAAATCCGCGATAAATAGGTTACATACTGTACATGTAGTTGAATTATTTAAAGTGTAGAATATAGTTAATGAAGGTCTGTTAACAAATTATGGGCCAAATTATGAACGTATATAATAGTTTTTCTCTTCAGTTGTTCTATTTTTACCTGAAAAATCGCTTGTACATATAGAAGTATCATGTGAAGGTATGTTTGAAAGTAGTAAATGAGAAAAATGCCACAAATGGTGTTTTATTTTTGTAATTTAACTAACATCATGCAGCAAAACAATTTGGGTAATTGTAATAAATGTTTATGATAGTCAATCTTTTTCTTTTTCACCTTACTTCCAATCCTAAATTCCTCGCTTACGAAATGAAGTGTTTTTGCCGGTGCAACGAAAGGGTAACCAAAGTCCACAAATTTTTTCTTTAGCCACCTCTTAGGACATAAGTAATATGAGAGCCAACTTGTCCAACGCCGGGAGAAACCGCAGCGCGCTTATGGCCAATAGAGCACAACGCGTAGCGGAACGAGTTCCCTCGCCAGAGCGCGTGGCGGTGCAAGCGGGGCGCTGGGCGGATTCCACGCGCGCACCGCGCCGTCGCTATTCAACCAGAAACCAAACGGCAAAACCAGGAAGGCAGGTGTTCTCGTAAATGCTCTTTGCGTCAAATGAGACTCTCGTGGGGTCTGTGGGGGAGGGGACCGAGTCTGTGTTCGGGAGCGTCACGCAATGATCCTTAAAGAAAGAGCAGGAGGAATATGTATTCGTGGACATATACCCATGGAATATGCTATGGGCATGCTATAAAGTACATCTTGTGACAAAATCATGAAAAATTGGAATAATGTTGAGGGCGATGATGTTGAACTTATTTCTTGTATATTTTACAGTCATTAGTATAATTAAGACAATGTGCTGTACCTAGGTTCAAGATACTTCTTTATTTGGTTTTAAATTTGAGTAATTTAGTACATACCAGTGTCAGATACAAATACATGTCAGATTTTATAAAATGTACAATTAACTCAGTAAGATTACATTACTACTGTGCTTGTAGAGTATTCTAAAAAGATAAGAATTTTAAATGTCGAAAAAATGAAAATGAATTCAAGCTATATTTTTTCTTGTCAGTGCTGAAATGTAGAGCCAGCAATACCAGCAAAAATTATGTTGAACAAAACAGCACGCATGCTAATCAAGAACAACAAATTAATTATTATCGTGTAGCACTGCAATAAATATTTTGACAGTCTTCACCAATACTGTAGTAACACACGCACATACAGAACAACAATTCTTTATGTACCAAGTCATACTGTAACACATGCGTAGCACATATTTAATGCCGGAGACCTCTTTCTAGGAACCTTGTTGTCGAAAATTTCTTTCATACTTCATTGCTTTGATGTCTTGTTTTGTTAAAATATTCTTACTCTATCTGGAATTAGACTTACCAACAAATCGTTGAAGCAGTTAATGTTATACTCCCGTTCAAAAATTCCCAACACTCAATGGTATATTACCTCCATACGGGATATGAAATATTGCAATTTCAAAATGATAACCGCCATAAAAATACTTAGAGGTGTGAATAATGCAAAGCGAAGTTAGTACAGGTATATTTTTTCCTTTAGTTCTCTAATATGACCATAAATGATCGCCTGTAAACTGCTCTTCTGTAAAATAACTAATTCTAATATAAAGTCGTGAGAATTATCGTTCGGCAAATTCTTATGCAGAATCATATACAACTACATTTGATGTCTTGAGTTGCTTTGCACTACCATATTTTTGTCCACTAGTTCTTTAAGATTTTAAAACCCACAAACTCAGTTCGATTTATCTTCTGAAAGGGAATATATAAGGGCATGAAAATGTTACTATTTTGTAGGTTGGAATGAATAAGTTGTAAGTCAAGTTAAATTAAAAATCGATCTTAAGGGTAGGCTTAAGACATACGTTTTCTCTAGTATTGTTTACAGTTCTTGTTTCCTCATTCTTACTTGATGTTCCTCAAATTTTATATTCCAAGGAAAAATTCAAATTTATTATAACAAATACGCATGAAATACGACATACAAATTTACAACACATTCTGCCGCACGATTTTCATTTGAAATTATTAGTTTGTCAACAATTACTTTTGCCAACCTCATGGGAGAGAATTATGGTGTCGTGGACTGAAAATAACTACGGACAATAACAAACAAAAGCAGGTTTTTGGAAATTTCTTAGAATTTTCTGTCCGGATTCGAAAACAAATTATCAGTTTCTCTTCGAGAAATCGAGATGCGTCAAATGATGCATCGTACGTCTCGATTGGTGGACGGGAAGTGGTGTAATCGTGAGAGACGTAACTGCGCATCGGTGCACCCCATACTCGGAAATTATTCAAATACTGTTTAATTCATATACTCAGATAAAAATATTGATTGAAAAACGTGGATGAAGATCTTTAAATCAAACATTTTGAGGGAAGACTTTAAGTAAAAAATGTATGCAAAAAATCTTAACGTAATTGCATTTAGCGTAGAACATTTTCACAAATAATTGAGAAAAGTTAACAATTACACAGACCAACAATAAAAATATCATAAGCAGTAAAATTATGAGTGATTTAATATTTTTACGCTTTGATTTAAAATATTTACTTAAAATATCTCTAGCACGTTTCGTGTTTGTGACACGATGGTTTTAGTCTTGAAAAAGTGCGAATTATTCTCGAAAATAAGGGCTTACCAAGTCAACAATGAAAAATTAATCGGGTATGAAAAATCAAATATGTGTCATACCTAGATTCCAAATGTGTGCTTATATTTTTTCTTACATGAATAGTTTATGAGACAGGACGGTTTTCATACGGCAATAGTGCGAATAAACAACGGAAGCAGCCATTCCTTTAGAAACTTCTATTGATGAGAAGAAATTAGCTCTAGTTTTGAATCAAAACAAATACGATAGCATATACATGTGTCTGTATTCTGAGAGTCACGTGTTTTCAATGAAAGTTTTTTGAATCTCGTCTGGATACATTATTAATACACATCAGTGTTTTTTTGTGTACGGAAGAGCGGATGTCTGCTTTATATCCGTGAGGTTTTCACGATGTTTTATCATGAAAATCCTCGAAAGTGTAAAAATAATCCAAACATATTTTGCTACATGTGTTGTTCCTTCACAACAAAAAGTCAGCGGCGTAGATTCCAACATATTAGTCCTTCCTCTTCATGTAAAAGTCGGATTGATTTTTTTCGTGAAGAACATAGGCAAAGCTAACTAGAGCATTCCAGTATCTCTGTGAACAATTTCTAAAAATTAGTGCAGCAAAAAAAGGAAGAAATCTCAAATACGAGAGTTTTTAAAAGATTATGCACACAATCGATGATTTTAGAAGAACAAGATACCAGAACAAGTTTTTAGTGGTTGTGTGAACATTTGCTAGGGAAAATCAAATCTTCAGATATTGTTAATGGAATTAAGAGACTTTTGTGCTCATTTCAAAAACTAGTAAATGTCACTTAGGTTACACTTTCTACACTCCTATTTATATTTCTTTCCTGATAACCTCTGTACCGTGAGTGTTAAGCGTTTTCAAAAATCACAACAATGGATCTTCGCCACCAATGTTTCTGGGACTAGTTCTCCATAATGATAGATTACTGCAGGATGATATTAAGAGAATATTATGAAGTAGTTCACAAAAGACGTGAGAGTTTATCACATTTCTGAGTAAGTGTTACACAAAATACAAGGAAGTTAATTTATAAGGAAATTAAATATGGTCGATTTTTCGTTTAGTAAAAGGATTCGCAAATTCTGAGAAATGGTGGCAAACCCTTAATGCAAAATCGTAATATATGTTAAAACTAGTTTACAAAAATATGATTATATTCCTGATATTTAGTTTAATTTTGTAGAAATTAGTAATTATTAATCCTTGCAACACAATTGTACACATGTTGCTGTGCATTAAGGCCTGTCTCCCGTGCGACACCAACGCCTCAGCAGTCTGCCGGGAAATTTTGATTTTATTGACGTTTTTATCAATTTTGCTAAGTTATTAAATTGATATATTTAATAATGAACAAATAAAATTCATTAAACAAAAAATATTAAATTTCATGCTCTCCAAATGAAAAAGACAACAAGAAGCAACAGAAGTTCTCGCATCAATATCTGGATGTAACGACAGAAACGATTTCAATTAATGCCAAATACCGACTGATATAATTTTATGAATAACAATATGTTAAACTACATTATTTTAAGACTAAAAATGCTACAAATATTTTCAAAATGTATTCTAAATTTTCATTTTCTGGTTTTGTTTCTCAGCCAATTATGCTTTAAGAACTCCAATTTGAACAAATACTTGGTATAGTTTGGATTTAATTTGTCAACAACCTTCATTATAAACAATATAAATGACTTTCGACATCCTAGTAACCTACACACACACAAAACAATAATCGGTCGCCCTCTCCTTCCCCACCTTGGAGATTCCCGGGTTAGGTAGAAGACAACATAAAAGTAGCAGAATTGAGATTGTGCACATTGCATCATCATTTTGAACGCAGAGAAAAACGAGTCCCGGGAGGCGCGCGCGTGTGTGCGGAGGCACGCGGAAGTGCTTCCGGGCCGCCGGCGCTGGGGCGGCGCTCGCGTCGTCACGGTCTGGTAAGCGCCGGACGAAAACCCCCCGCACTCGTTACGTGCATTCCGCCGCGTACTGGCTGCCGCTCGGGGACCGCCGCCGCCCCCGCCGCCCCTGCGCCCTTGTCAGCGCCCGCGGCGACGACGCGAAGGGGTCCCGGGAAAAGGCGAAAACGGCGTTGCGACATCCCCATCGCCCACCCGCCGCGGAGGCTGCTATAAAGCAAGCTCACACCGCGGTACTCAACAGTCCGTCCCGCCCAGCAGACCTACTACCCTCAGCATCGCCATGCAGCCCGCTCAGGTGAGACGCCTTACGTTAGAAGAAAAAGGCTTCTTTATAAACATTTGAAAACAGCTTCCACAAAAAGCAATCAATGTAAAGCAAAGACCACGAACATTTGCTCTACTTCAGTTTGAAGAAATTTTAGAATTAGTAACTTTAAAAAAAAAAAAACTTCAGCAACAGGTACAAAGACAATTTCAATAATGTATTTCAAGATGTTTACGACAATTCTTTCTTTATCCATATAATATCCCTATATATCAATATTATCAATCATAATTTGAAGCAATCAAAAGCTACAAATATTTTAAGAAATTTTCTCTTAATTTAGATTTTCATTTCCATTTATTCAGTCAAAAAAATAGTAAAAACTGTATGTGACGTAGAGGGGGATATCTGCGAACGTTTTCATGAGTTTCAGAATCTCTTTTTAAACACAAATAGTAAAATTTTAACTGTAAATAGTACAAAGATGAGAGAAAGTTTAACTTAAATAAATAACCATACATTTTAAAAATCGCAAAACTAATAATATTTGAAAAATAGTCATTTTTGTTTCTGTTATAGAAAACGTATTTGCGTCGGTACAAGAATTGCAAGTATGATTTTTCTGCATTGCTAACAAAATAGCAATTCACCCTTACCACTCCTCTTACCATTTTAGCAAAAGGAGAGTTCAACAAAACGTGCGCATAGTAAAGCTACATTTACCTTCAGAAGCAAAACAAGGGGCCATCTCAGCATTTGCTCAATGGATCAGGGAAACTTGACAAAACGATCGAGATGGGGGTCATTTACCCGAAAGCTGAAAGACATTATTTGTTACAGACATATTAAGTCTTTTAAAAAAATTATACAATGCAAATGTAAACTAATTCGTTATATATCACTATTTTGTTAAAATAAACATTATTGTTTTGTTTTGATAATCAGTATAGTCTCTAATTGTATAGAAAAAGTTATACAGCAGAAAAGATTTTACTTTTAACTTAAATTTGTGAACTGACTTTAATTGTTTAATGTCATCTGGTAGTGCGTTGTAAAGTAACGTACATGCATTGTATGTGGATTTCTGATAGTGAGCTGTTGATACTGACCACTTGATGAACGTGTTTCTACGACGTGTGTTGTAATATATAAATATCAGTATTGCCATTGAAAATATGCTCCCACGTTAAGTAAGTCACTTTGACAAATATAAACAGATTTTTAAATATATAGGCAAGGCAGTGGTAAGATTCCAATGCTCAATGCTCAATAAAGAGAGGCTTGCAAGGGTAAGTGATGGCATTTTTCATTATTCGAATAATTTTCTTTTGCAATCTAAAGGTCTGAGTACTACATGATGAGTTTCTTCAGAATTTTATACCGTATCTCTGGCGGGAATGTACATTTGCAAAATACACGCAACGAGCTGCATGAAGGCTGACACAATTTGATACAATTCTGAATGCGTAACATAATGAACTTAATTTAGTGTTTAATTAATGTTATAATGTGTCTTCGGTTCTGGCTCAGTTTACTTCATAACATAAACTTTATATACGTTTTCAACAATTACCAACAAAATAAAAAGGAAAAATGGTTTCGTCATCCGAAACAATTTTGCACGAAAGTGAGTACCGCATTTCCGGTTTGTTTCTTAAAGACTTGTGCACCGGCCATTGTACACCGGTTAACTTACATATTTAGTGTATCCTTATGCACAGGCATTTTTCCTGATATTTTTAAAAGAAGATTAAGCTGCTTTTCAAAAAAGGCAAAAAAATGTAATTCAAAATTATCGGCCAATTTATATTTTGTATTTTTTTTTCAAAATAATAGAGAGACTCTTTTACGTAGGAATGGAAACATTTCTTAGTGATACGAATATTCTTTGCAATAAAAAGATTAAATAGTACAATATCAGATATTTCAAATTGGTTTCCTACTAACAAATTAATAGTAAATAAATAACGGTTTCTTAGTAGTTTTCCATTTCATATATACTGTACTCAATTGAAAATTAATGGGGTGCTATTGACTGAGGCCTTTCAGTTCAGTCAAACCTTAAATGGAACGTCTATACAAATGAATTGAACACTAAATTAAGTTCTTTATGCTATGCTTTCAGAATTTTTTCGAATGTTCACTGTCGCCTTATATATGGCATAATGTCCTCGAGAAATACATCTTACAGCTCCCAAACATTTACATTACAAAAACTAATTGTACGAATAATAAGCAAATCTTACCCACGTGATTCTTGTAAGCCTCTCATTAATAATATAGCTATTTTAACATTATCTTGTCTCTTGAGAGATGAATCAGTGTTTTTGTCAAAAACGACATACTTCAGGGCAGGAATATATGTCAATAACCACAACACTCGACATAGTAATCATATTCGTCAGGTGACAGTATCAACAGCTCACTGCAAAAACCTCATATACAATACATTCACATTATTTTGCAACACCTTGCCAGATGACATTAAATTCGATTGGGACAAAAAATTACGTCCCAAGTAAAATATTTGCTGCTATACAACTGTTTCTATACAATTAGAGACTATCGACCATCCAAAAGGAAAGTATTATTAATTTTAACAATTAAATTTAATGTATTATTCACCATTTGGATTGTATAATTCTAAAGAATCTGCAGCAAGTATTGTACTTCAATTTCTGGGTCACAGCCCCCATCACGATCAGATCTTCGTCTAGTTTTCCTGATCCTTGAGCAAATTCTGAGATAGCCCCTTGTTTTTCATCTGGACATAAATGTAACGTCACATTAATTCCTTCCCCATCTCGCGTCACACACAGTTTTAACTGTTTTTTATGTAAATGAATAAATAAATAAAAAGTTAATATTTTCTTAAGCAAAGTTCCTTAGCAATACAAAATGAATTGATTTGAGACATCTGAGCATTTATCAATTAAAACTATTCAGTATACCGTTGTTATCACCAATGTGTATGTTTTGCGAAGATACAATTCACATGAACAATACAGGTAATAAGTAGTCTCTTTAAAGTTTGGCGAAGATCAGGAGGAATTAGCAACTGTAAAAAAGGATTGAAGTAAGCGGTTCTATTTTTTAGAGAATGAAAACAAAAAAAAAATAAGACGTAGAATAACAAAGTGTCCTCCCACAATGCATTTATCTGAAATTTGTATCAATAGATATATAGGTATGCTTCCCTGTAATGCTGAAGTATCCAAAGAATTTGACGTAAGAAAAATGTAGTTCAGAAAGAAGGTAGGGGAATTAGTCGGGGAATTAGAGAACATGATAATTTATAAAATATTTGTCAGAATCAGGATGGTCGATGTTTCAGGTAATTGAGGTAATAAATCGATAAGTAAAGGATGTGAAGAGGAGGATAGAGCAGGACATGGCAACAAGTCGATGGCACAACGTTTTTCGAGTCGATCTCTTTCATAATTCGCTCTTACTACGGATACACTTGATTATTAGATATTGGTGCATTATATGCAGATACAGACATCACATTAATTAGAATATTTAAGAACTCATTTTCTTGAAACGCTTATGTATACTTGGGTAAATAAATAACATTTGTGTTTTAACAGGGTTAATTTGTTTTGTAAAAACAAATACTCCTCTTTCTATTAATATTCTAATTGATAGTAGTCGATCGCCTTGCCTTTTTTTTATAAAAGTAGATCTCACCAGAGTTAACGTTGTCCGGGCATAGGATTGTGTCTTAACAATTATTTGATAGAAAATGAAAAACGCAGATAGTGGATGGACAAGGAAGATCATCTTGGATATGTAGGTTATTGTGATTAGATTGTGTTGGATTGTAAGAGTAAATGCATTGAGGATTGTTTATTTTATTATTACACATATTATCATTTAAATTTAATAGCGAATCCAACAAAATGTTTTTCTGCTAATACGAAAGCAAGTTTTCTTTTACCGGTCTTTGCTGGATAATCTGTTACACACTGCCTTCCTTTGCTGAGTGTCTGCCGTGTGTTGCAGCTCCTCGCCGCCTGTGTGTTGGCCGTAGCCGTCGCGAACGCGGGCCACGCCACCAGCTACGTGGGCGGGGCTCTCTACAGCTACGGAGGAGGCCAAGGAGGCTACGACGGCGGCTATGATGGCGGCCATGGCAAGGATTACTACGTGGGTATCACTTACTAACTGCAACTAGAAAGAGTGTTCTCCACTTTGACCAATCGTACTCACAAAGTACTCGAGTCACACCAAATCCTGCATTAATTCCTTTGTGAAAAATTTGGGGTCGCATGTCTTTGGTATTTAAAACTTTGTAATTTAGAACAATCTGAACATTACTAGGAAACGAAATACAGTATGTTTGGCTAAAAACTTGAAACTTCCGTTTACACAACCCCTAATCTGCCTTCGGGTAATTTCATAACTACTCACTCGCAATAGCAAACGGAGAGCTGAGTTACTTTCGCAGCGGTGTTCAGTTCCTCACTTGACAGAATCTTTAAATTAGTGATTTTAGAATCATTTCCAATTGGTGCTCGAAAGTTTCGTATGTATCACAAATGTTCTTAATTATTAAAGAATTAAATTGAAAAACTCTTTTCAACATGCCACTACAGATCATTCACTTGTTAGGTCTACTCAAGATATGTGACATTTTAAAATACAAAATAAAGAAAAAAGTATATTATCTAAGACATAAGAGCTTTAAATAATATTGGTCTTAAAATGTCATAAAAATCCCCTCTAGTGACATTGTGCCTAAACGATATTTGTTTATTAAAATAACATGTTGATAAGAAAAATTGAAAGTAGAGTTGAATTAATACCCAAGGAAATCATATAAACTATCAAGATAACGTTTCAATAAACTAGTTATCCGCAAATTTATAGAATTATCCTAGCAAGAACAAAATTGCACGTCAATATTTGAAATACTGTTCCCTTATAGTCTAAAGAATCAAACCCTGTCTTTGAACCAAACTCAAGAAAGAACAAGTCTTCTGAATTAATAACTTCCACGACGTAAGCATTTTTTCTGATTAACCCACAACCAATTTTTTTAGAAATTGTCCATGTTTTTCTGTTATACACATATAAATTGCGGAAATACGCTGTTTCAATATTCTCTGCATGCATACCTGCATAATAAACAAACATGTGCCTTATTGCCCCTTGCCAGTAAAAATCTCTGTACTGCCACAGGCCTACCCCAAGTACAAGTTTGACTACGGCGTGCAATGATGGCACACGGGCGATGTGAAGAACCAGTGGGAGGTCCGTGACGGGGACGTGGTGAAGGCAGTACAGCCTGCACGAACCCGACGTGACCCAATCCGGCGACCGTCTCCTACACCGCCGACAAGCACAACGGCTTCAACGCCCAAGTCAAGAGGTCGGGCCACGCCGTGCACCCCGCCGGCCACCACGGCGGCTACGGCGGATATTAACTATGCAGACATCTTGTTCAAAACCAACAAAAGCTTTGACTAAGGCCTTCATTGTTAAATGTTTAAAATTCAATGAAGATGGGAAATTGTGGGCATCGTGGATGTACATTATGTTGTTACATTTAATTTTATTTATTTTTCTTCGTTTTGGATGTTGTTGCTTCATTTTAATAATTTTCGTTAGATTATGTATTCATGTATTCTAAGTCACTTTTGTTTCTTTTGTACTACGTGTTTAAAGCCTTTTTTTATGTTTTGTACATATGTGATATTTTATTAATATTTCATGTCAATAAAACAAGACTCGTTCTTGAAACGAATATTCTGTTAATTAATTATGCTTTAGAATCAGTTTCCTTCTATTAATATTTTTGTAACACTGTACCATTACATTAGATTTAGATTTATTAATAATACTGCTGTTAAATTTGAGAACTTGGTGGCAGAATACACAAAATCAACTTAACAACTTTACAAAATCTACGAACTTCATAAATTAACGTAAACATTTCACGGTGCAAACTTTCATAGCATTCCACTTCACCACACTTCACTTCACCGCATTGCGAATCGCCGATCTATTATGTCCTTCTTGTTTACCTCAGTTTCAGAATGCTACTGCACTGCACATAATTAATAATAATAATAGTAATAATAATATTTAATTACATAGAAGACATAGTTACTTACACTGAATAATATTAAATATATTTATTTATTTATTTTAATAGGTAATTATTACAAACAAATTAGCTTACTTGATTCTATGTGACTAGGCCGAAGGCCTTTAAGCCATTAAAATACCTACATCCTTTCGCTTTCTAATCTTTCGAATTCTGGTATTCACCCCAAATGGTCTCTTCCATCACAATTTCAAAGCGCGGAAAAGAGACCATAAGGTACGGCTCAGGAAAACACCCCTGAAGGGGAAAAACCTGCCGTCAGAAAGCCGAGTACATTACTAATCTATCCGACGTTTATTTTAACTATTTATTTTCTGGCGGGGCGTCACGAGTCTCGCTTCCAGTGCTTGGGCCTCCTCAGCACCTGAAATCAAAAATAGCGCCACAGAAGATCGTCACAACCAAACGCCTCTGCCATTACATTTTCGATCCCCCTTCCCTTCACCCCTAATGTGCTTATTTCTATGCCGTTTTATTTTATTTATTATATTGACTGTTACTTTACAATTGACTAACTATTATGACTTATTTCTTAACTGTTTACTAACTTAACATAAAATTACTGATTAACTTACATATTGTTAGCTATTGACTTATTTATTTCTCTCCAGTCTAGGCTCCGCTCAAGCTAACCGGTGCCTGTTTTCTTACTCCCTAATTTCAGTTTCCCTAATGGTCCGAAACATTTCCTAAAAATGTTCCTAATTCTTTCATAAATTTAGACCTTTATCACCTAAAATGTTTTGAGCGAGCGTTACGTTCCTGGTTTAGGAAGTTTATATACATATACATACTACTACATATTGTGACGTACCTGGGAAGCCGTACTTTCACGAAATAATTATGCAAGAGACAGGTACATTTTCGTGAATGGGTCTCCAGGAATTTAGCGCACATAGAAGATAATCGTTATACATTTCTTTTGCATCACTAAAATTTTAATGATCAGAGAACACACTTTACAAATAGTATTTACAAATCGCAATTGCGCAGGCCTTGGAAAACAAGCGCACGGTCAACGCTACCTCATGTTTTAAAGACCACGCTTTTTCTGAGGCGACCGGGCCGTCGTGGGCAAGGCGGCGGTGTGCTTCGGCAATCTTCGGTTCGCCCCGAAGTCCGCCGGGAATTCGCCTACCTCGGCGACCAACTCCTCTGGCCCAACGTAAGGCGATGAATTCGCCGGGTCCCCCCAGCCGTGGTGAACAATATCTCACGGGTATTGGAACGCAACGACGCGCGATTGATGTTCATCGGCTGTTCTAGTCTTTCAGCACCTTTCTCAACTTCGCGCGAATGGTCCGTAAACACTGCCCACTGTGTATTATACCAGGGCGGGATTACAACACTAGCCCACCGACACACGAATTCCTGTCTTATTGTCTTCTTCAGTTCTCGTGCGCAAATTCTACTTCCACTAATTATCTGACTGTTAATCTTTATCAAACCTGGTTCCACATTCAGCGGCCACACTCAGTCCGAACAGCATTTAACAACGACAATAAATCTCTTGGACGCAACACTGCTTTGCCCGTGCTTCACTCGAGGCCTCTCCGCGCACCACTAACCGTCGCTCGCCTCGCCGTTTCGCCCTCGATTTGACCGTCGGTGGCGGCGGCTGCGGCGTTACCGCGCTGATCAACTCCAGTACTTTATTTTAATTTATAATTGGTGATCATTGTAATTGTTCTAATTACAGAAACGTTCTTCGTTTCAATATATATTAAAAATATATATTTATAACACACATATAGGCGTCTCTTAAGAATTCCGCCGACATCCTTCCATCCGCTAAAAGTTATCGGAATAAATTATATACAGCAAAAATTGCAAATGAGAACTTCCGATTCAAATTAAGTTGTTATTTCATGTTTATATGAATTTTTCTTCTAAGAAGGTGATATTACCAAAAGTCATAAGTTATACTCGACGGTAGAGCCGGGCAAAAACGCCCTCGGTTCCGTTTGTGCTGGGTACGAGAATGCCGGAACCGGGACTGCCATTATCGAGAACGAGCGATATACCGAAACGTAGCCTGTGCACGGGGTGCGCCGACCGCGCAGACTGAATGCTGGAGGCAACATCGGATCCCTCGCAAAGTGGTTTTGCGATTTGATAGACGTATACGTTGACCAATGAAAGCAATTGCTACTGTAGTTTTGTAGATATCCTTAGGCTTTGGCATGTACTATACAAAAATAATGAAAAAATAACAATTCTGACGAATATTTATTTTGACGTAAATGTATGTTTAGGAACCCACCTCAATTTTTGTCTTAGTGTTAAGACTGAAGATGCCATTTGTTTCTGAATTTGACATTCCGTAGTTTTGCATACCGCTCGCTTTCCTTTCAATTCTTGCACAAAAGAAGAAGCGGTGAATCAAAAGGTGACCCGTGAGTCACGGGTGGTCGCTGAGCTTAGATTCGCAATGCAATTATCACAATGCAATTATCAATTATCCCAGGGGGCAAGTCCCCGATGTTATTCCAGGAAGGTAAGGGAAATGAGAGGTAGGATCTGTTAATTAGAAGGATAAGGTGTAGGTCGCCTTCGTATGCGAGTGATGGAATTAAAGTCAATGAAAACGTTTATTTTGGACATTTCCAGGCTTATACTAAATTACAGTATTACGAATTTCTCTAGTGTCCAACAATGTGATAAATTTGTTAACTTTTTCGGGCAGCATTGCATAACTTTCTCTCTAAACCATAGCGAGAAAGTAAAAATAATTGTTGAAAATTATTTTATTTTTTTAAAACTTTTTTACTACTCCTACAGAAAATTCAATTGATGGCGAAACGTCTGTTTGCCCGTCCGTCCGTCTGTAAACCACGCTTGCGGCTAATCTGTTCAGCCAATTTTCTCGAAATTTGATATTCCCAAATTGATCTGGCTGATACCCTGGCCCTTTAAATTTGAAACAGATATATGAATTTTAAGTGGTCCTTTACACAGAGCCCTGTGGAGAAAATTTTTAAAAATTGGCGCCATTAGTTTTGGTTAAATTTTCTTGATGGATAGTCTAAAAGGCTTT